GCATGATCTTAGTAATTAATAAATATTTTACGGAGCTTGTACACAACTTCACCAAAGAAGGCTTACCATTAATTCTTTTTTTTAAACCGAAGTCAACAAGATTGTTTGTTTGAAGGTTCAAATGAAAGTTAAGCATATATGAAAGTTAACTTATGACGATCAATTAAAGGTAGTGAGCATTTTTCTTCATTTTCTCCATTAAATAAATTAATGATGTAGATATAATAAGAATTTCGTTTTAATATAATAAAAATAAATAATTGGTTTTGTGTGTGTGTGTGTGTGTGGTTGTTATAGCATTATATAATTCACGAATTTCTCTGAATTTAATAATTAAAAATGTTTTCCCAGAATTGTATGAAATTTAAAACGTACATTAATGTTATGTTTTCTTCGTTATTGATTAAAGCTCCCAAGTCGACATCATTATTATTTGGATTATAAGGACAGTTAGTGAAAATTTTTCTAATTGAAAAAAGTAATACTAACACATTTTATTCAGAATATTTCTTTAAAAGCTAGTAATCCGATAATGTGTATTTAATTGAAAACTAAAAATCTTTTTTTCAAAATATTTATTTAAATGCATTTCAAAGCATTGTTGTAAATTTCCTTTTGAAACTAATTATATTTTTAATTCCTGTTCAATATTTCAGATACCATGAATGGGTAAGAAATTTTTTTCTTGGGTTGTTTTGACATTTAACATGAATGAAAAGAAATCTTATCGGGTAAAATTTGAAAAATAATGATTATTTTTTCTGCTGTAAACAAGGTATTAGTAACTGGAGAGTGTATTTTGTAAAACTTCGCCAGCTTGGTTTTTGATATGGAAATAAATTTATTTTTAGGGAGGATTCAGTTTCTGTTTTTATCAATAACATTTATAATTTTTAACGATGTTATCGTTAAGAGTTTGTAACTGAAAATAATTTATAATAAACATTTAAGTTAATCCATCCGAAAGTCTCGGAATAAAAGCTGTTGTACATTTCCTTTGAGAATATAAGTAATGAAAAACAATTCATTCTTTAAATATTTATCTTTCCTTAGGAAAATTTATTTTCATTATAAAATATTTTTAAGCTTTATTAGAATTCATTTTTTTATTTTAGAAGAACATAGAATGTTGCTTCATTTCTCTATTTTTGACTATGTCCTTTCCTTGCGTTTATATAATTATTCTTTGAAAACACTCTCGTAATTTTTCACAAAATAATTTTTACCTCAATACACAGAGAAATCTTATACCTCAGTAAATACGTATACTTCTGACAATATTTGTTATTTTTCGTTTTAATCATATATTGTTGGCTTTACTTCGTTTTAAAATATTTTTCTTAGAGTTCGAATTTTAAAACACTTTACGTAAAAAGTGGAATTCAAGAATCAACCCAATTTTTTTGTATTCCTCTTAAGAATGTAAGTGCCTACGCAGGCAGACTATGCGTCATTGATTAAAAGAGGTAGTATCCTGAAGGAGCATTGTCTGGAGAATACCGCGAGTGGAACAGAATATTCCTTTTGAGTGTTTCCTGGTAGTTTCGTAACGGGTAGCAAATTAAGGCTTATATTTAAACATTAACTTTCAGCTTCGTGGGAGAGAGAGGTTAGAAGCTAAAGGATAGCAGTTGGTGATTAACGTAAAGCTAATTGAGAGTGATTCATAGATTATTTGATTAATATCCAAGATCGATGAATTGGTCAATTAGCTGTTTAAATTGGAATATTGTCGGATTGAAGTAGATAAACTTAGAACGTGTGTGTGTATTTTCAAATATTTAGAAGGTGTATTGCTAGGATGTCCAAGAGTAAGTGCTTCGATTTATAATTAAATATTCAACTATCTCGTCTACCTTGCTTTTGATCCCATATTTACTTAAAGGTGCATTTCCTAACTTAGGTTGTTGATACTTGTTAATAAATTGTGTTTGTTTTGACTATGGATAATCTTCTTTCTAACTCTCGTACACTAATGGATAGGACAGCCCATCCATTACAGTTTTTGTTTGGCACTGCCGCATACAACCCAGCATTATCGTGCTACAAAATTCTCTTGTAGTATATCTATTTACATCTCGACCATTTCTTCTTTAATGTTCGTTTCATACGTATTAACTATAAATGGTAGCATCTCCTCGAGAGTTTTAATTGCTTATAAAAACCCATACCCATGGGATCTCGCCAAATACTGAGAATGAACTTTGTTCCCTGAATATTTGCTTTCGTTATTGATGTTGATGTATGTTCGGGCTTATTACACTATTTTTACGCTTTGGATTGTCGTAATGAATTCATTTCTTATCACCAATTACAAATTGATGTAAAATAAAGCATCTTATATTTTTGCCTTTGGAGCAGCTGTTCCCAAATGTAAAAATCTCCTTTCCTTTGTCTCTTTGCTTTTATTCTTACCACACTTAATTTCCTTTTTTTTATCATTTCCATGCATTTGAGGTATTATAAAATTGCTTGTTAAGTCTCTCTCAAAACTTCTAACCATTCTTGAGATTTTTTTCAAAAGGTTTTATTCTATACTGCCTCCAATTCTTCATTTTCAAACGTTTCTAGCTTTTCTTCATGTTCCTGACATTCCGTGTCAGAATCACCACTTTTGAACAGTCTAAACCAGTATTCAGAAGTTGAAATTGATGGAGCATGGTACCCACAAGCCTCACGTAGCAATCGATGATTTTCAGCTGTTTTTTGTTTTCAAATGGAAGCAGACAAGTAAAGCTTCCCGCACATTGCATTTCTTTTGCACAATAGTCAGAATATTTGGAATTCAGAAAGATTATCTTACTTTTTTATATATATATACATTTTGACAAAATAAGATGTACTGAAAACTAAAATCTAGTGATGGTTATTTATCCTATAGATGGTTAGGTTATGGTCCAAAATAATTTAAAAACACAAATAGTAGCCTCTTTTGTGAATCGTTTTAAACTTATCTGTTTCCCTAATATAATATAATTAAATATCCAACAATGCATGTATAATAATAATTAAGTTTCATTTCTTAGAGTTTTTCATTTTTTATTTACTATACGAGTAATATTCATTTCTATATTTGTTGCCTTTTTGTTCTTTATAAATATGTTGTACAAATAAAGGTATTATTTTGTTTTAATTTTTTCTCAGCATACCTTTTTATCTATACGTTTTTACAAGGAAAGAAATTAACAAATTTTTAAGCGGAAAAATAAAATTTTCGTCACATTTTATTGTAATACTAGATAGTTTAATATAAACAACGATATAACAATAGGAATTCATTGCATAAATAAATTTAAGTAATAAATTTAAGGGGGGGTAAGAGAAGTACTGTTGTTCAAATATTTCATCCTAATGGGAAGATTTAGTGGATGATGTAATTCCCCTCAACATCTCAAAATCATAGTACCCATTAAAAACACGTTTACATTGAATTAATACATTTATACAATTGTTGAATGTAAACCCATAAAATTAGGTGATTTACATTTAACTTTCTCAGATGATATATTTAGAGATGTGAATGCTCATTTCTATTCTTAATACATTTCCCAAAATAGTTTCAATATAAAAAAAACATGACGTTCATAATAAAAGAAAATATTTAATCGATAACCCATAAAATATTTCCAATTGTTAGTAAATAATGGTAAATCACTATTAATGTTTCATTGTTTTATTATTTTCAACACTTATTTGATTAGAAACAAAGGCGTTAAAAACAACAAGAGCCCCTTTTTTATAGTTTTGTCATCTCGACTGTTTGATTGGAGTTAATCTGTTGTACGTGATTGCTTCTGTAATCATTTACTTGTCTTTTCTTTCGTAATCCTATCTAATGAAATGCATCTTCTCTATTCACATTATTATCTTGTCATGTTTCATCCCCAGTATTTACACGGTCCTGTAGCTGTCACAATGCATTTATCAGACATGTTTGATCGAATAATGTGTCTTTTATTTTGATGTTATAATACATTAGAGGCTAATAAGATTTAGTTTTTCATTACTCCATCTTATCACCAAATATATGCATGTGATGCAGAATCACCTTCTATTTGAAAAATTTTAAGTTATTATATATTTCCAAATACAAACCGAACCGTGTATATTCAAGTGTACGCTTTTTCTTCAAAAATTTACCCAAACCCGTATATAAGCCAAATCGAAAAAAAAAAAATTCTTGTAATTTTCTATTACGTTGTCATAAAGACGAAAATGTTTCTTTAACGGGTAAAATGAGAGGAATAGTTTCCAATTGAATTGTTGTAAAGTAAAGCGCCAATGACCATAGTTTTATTTCTAGAAACTAAAATTTTTTCATTCATTTTTTAAAAATCTTTTTCAAGGTATGTGTGTTAGTCATACTTTCTGCTCTGTTTCGACACTGACTTTGAAGGATTTAGGTGACTTTTTTATTCTTTTTAAATGAAGACTGCATCCAAAATACCCCAAAAGTTAAGAAATTAAAATCACTTACACCTGGAAGAAAATAAATAAATAAAAATAATAATAAAAACCCAGTTTTTTCTTAGCTATGTTGAAAAAACATAGCTTGGAAGAAAATGGGGTTTTGTTAATTTAGTGGATTCAATTCAATGGATTTTGTTAATTTAGTGGTGTATTTAAAATATAATCTTAGAAATATCTTTTCATGTAAATATAAAATTAAAATGTCACTTTCAAACTATCACTTTTATTACTTGAAAAGAAAAAGAAAATACATGTAAGCCCTTTTCCAATTCCTACTATTAGTGTTCACTCTCTTCATATATATATATATATATCTTGTTCAAATTTTCAATCATCAATAAAATACCTTCTATTCATCCATTCAAGTTAAAATACATTTAAAAACACTTGATGTTAATACAATTTATTCAAATATTAATTGATTAATTAAATTAAAAAATGAATAAATAATAACAAACAAAAATAATGGCCCCAACAGCATATATGGAAAGGAAAAGTGTTTGTTGTAACCTCTCTTCAGTTGTATCACTACAGCGCAAAGGATAGTGCGTTGGACTTCTAATCCAAAGGTTGTGAATTCGAATATCACCTGGGATGTCCTAATTTCTGAGAATGTGATTTCTTTTGTACTATACTATTTTATTAGAATAATTAAATTTAATTATGAATGAATAGTAACAAACAAACAAAAATAGTCCAACACTATATAGAGAAAGGAACACCGCTTTTTATTATGTCACTTAATATTGTGATTCTGTCTTATGTACATGTATATTTATATTAATTGTAACAGTTTTATAAAAAGCAACTAAAATAAAATTTTTCTTTGTTGACCTAAGTAGAAATTGAAAAAAAAAATCACTTAAATTCCTTTTTTTTTACATTTAAGAGTCTGTACCACTGTGTATTAAACTCTAAGTATTTAAAAATGCACACACACACATGTATTTTTTAAATTTCAATTACTTATATATCCTTCAATGTACGGTTTTCTTACTATCTCTGTATTTTTCTGTTTTGATTTATAAATGTTTATCTCAGATTTGTAGAGAATTTAGACTATATATATATATATATATATATATATATATATATATAATATATATATATTAAAAAATACTTCATTTTCCCTTTTATGTTAAAAACTATCCTTGCTTTATTCTAGATTTTCTTAAATTAAGAAAAAATTGTGTACATTGCTAAAATAACTATTAATATTTTCTACTCAATTAAAATTGATTTTTCCCAAATGATAATTGACATGTTTAAATTAGTGTAAGCTATATAAACCGATATAAAGCTTTTCTGTCAAAGCAGGCATAAAAAAATCATAGACCGGAAAAGTTATTTCAGTGAAAGAATTCACATTATGCAGAAAAATATAATAATTATTCATATGTTTATTTATATATGGTAATGAATGAATGCTTTTTTGTGTGTGTTTAGCGTTAAGATAAAAAGTTTTAAAAACATAAAATGTTAATTTTTTAAAACCATAACATCTAATTATAATCTTGAGCAAACAATTGACAAGGATTTCTTCTAGTATGATAGTGGTTAGAGCATCGGACTCCAGATCAAAAGGCATGGGTTCGATACCCGATGTCACCAAATAGCCTCCGAGTACACACCGAGTACGTGCTTGTTAAATCAGTGGGTCTGAAGATCCTGCAGGCGGTCGCAGCTGGAACCAAGGGTGCAGGGGAGTGGAGAATGTTTCCAACCCTTCCAGTTCCATACCGAAATTGTCGAGGTGGAGATAGGTGGTGTCACCATCTATCGTACAGAAATCGAACCTGTCTCAGGCACTGGCAACTTTCAATCCTTCCCTACAGGAAGGACACGACAACAACAACATACGTTATACTAAATAAAAACAGAAAATAGATTGAGATTGTTAACAGTGATGAATATATATATAATTGGGATATATTTTTAAATTCATCAATATACTACCACAGTTATTCAAACCAATTTAATGTTGTGATAAAAAGTCCAGTTCAAAACCATTTCCCAAATATTTGATTCTAAGTTAAGGTATCCGACTACTTTCGGAACAGTGATTTTGCAAAAGCGTGTAAATGGATAACACTTATGATATTTAGTGTCACTTAGATTAAAAAATGTATATAAAATTGTTTTAAGAATAGTATTACAATAACAACTTATTTAAGTACACTATTTTGACAAAAAATGAACATAGAATGACCCAATTTCAAAATATTCTCCTTTTGCGAAAAATGCTTCTATTATAATAATATTTTGCCTGTATATAGCTCAGACCTCTGTACAGAGGCTCAACTAGAATTTTTGAAATATGTAACTTAGGAGTGGGTTTATCCATGTTTTACGACAACAGAGGGGAGAAATTTTAAGAAAAGAAGATAATTATTTCAAATGGTTGTCACTCTGAAAATGTGAATTTTTCAAAAATCATAGTTAAGTCTCTGTACAGAGGTCTGAGCTATATACAGGCAAAAGTATTATTATGATAGACACATTTTTCACAAAGAAAAGCATTTTGAAAAATGTTATCTTACTTTTTTGCCGAAATATTGTATTTAAATGTTTTTTTTTGCCAAAATGTCCTTAAAGCAATTTTATACATGTATTCTAATCTAATTGACACTAAATATCATGAAAATTATCCATTTATGTGCTTTTTTAAAGTCACGGTTTTGAACGTAGTCGCATACCTTAAGTTATGAAAGATATTTCTTAAATTCTTTTCAAAATTTTAGGCCTCATATACATTTTAAAATTAAATTATATTCAGGGTGTTGCCGAATTTGACCAACATATTTAGAGGGGTGATAGTACGCAGCATAGGGATGGCAAATCAACATTGAACAGAGGGTCGCAAACCACATTTAGTCATTGAAAATCTTTCTAGTAGTGGCTGTTGGTAGGATGATGAGCCAAACGAGGGGTTGGCCAAGCGAACGTGGGGATTACGACAGCCGTAGTGAGGTTGTAGAAACCTACATAATAACAAGTTTCTCACTTCTCCCGGAGTTGCTGCAGGGAGTATTGGTCACTGCGTACCAGAAATGTGGCTCATGCTCGATGGTATAACTGCACATTTTTCGATTGCGTTGAATAACCATCTCCATGCTACATAACCCCGGGAGGTGGATTGAACATTGCAGACCTATTGTTTGGCCTCCACGTTAGCCGAACGTTCTCTTGGATTCCTTTTTCTGCGGCCGGTGGCTATAGCTGAGGATCTGGCGGCATGGATCGTCGTCGCTTCAGCTGACATCGACAGCACACCTGATTTGTTTAAACATGTCCAAAAATCCTTTTTCCGTTGTTGTCGCCTGTGCCATGACCTACGCGGCCGAAACATCGAACAATTCTTGTGACAATCTCTTGCCGTGGCATTTCTGGCATTAAGTTGTGATGCATTATTCGTATTATAAACATGCTTTATGTCTAACAGATGTATTTCTTATCTCTTATTGCCCCTTTCACTGCCCTCGACATCCCACACTTCATAGTTGTATTTGCGAATTACTCCAACTAAACGTGGTTTGCGCCCCCATGTTCTAGTATATTGATTTGTCCTCTCCATGTTATCTACTATAACCCCTCTGAATTTGTAGATCAAATTTGGAGAAATACCCTGATTAGTTAATTGGACGATAAGAAATAATGCAAGATAAAAGAAAGAGCACAATTTGAACACAATTCTGCTTATATACATAGTATATTAATAAATAATGATTAGAAATAAAAGCAAAAATTAATGAACTTTATTAATACTTGTTTATCAAGGAATTGATTTGGGAAATATAGAATTTTAAATGAGGAGATATCTTTAAATATTTTTTACGAAACTTAATTTTGATGAATGAATGCATGAACACAATTTTATACCTAAATCAATGTAATTAATATTCAATTTCCAAAAAACTATTTTGTGTTATAAGTGCCCCTTATTATTTCCGTTAGAGTTTGTTGATGAATAACAATGCTTTACTCCATTAAAAAAATCATATATACAATTGCGTCATTATTAATTTTTGTTGCACGATATGATTAAATTTGCTATAAAAATAGCTCCAAGGTCAGCTTGAATTAAGGCCTATTTGTCTCTAGTGCAGTGTTTCTCAAAGTGTGGGGCGCGCCCCCCTGGAGGGCGCGATGACCCTACAAGGGGGGCGCGAGCGTATCGAAAATTTAAAGATTTTTTTAAAAAAAAATAACCGGAAAGAGAAGTAAAACAAAATGCTTTCTTCCATAATAAAAAAAATACACACAACACTGACATAATTTATGTTTATTATCTGGCTTTTTTCCGTCATCAAATAGCTATCTTTGATCCCAAAACCAAATTAAAGAAAAAAAAACATTTTGTTTTATTTGCTGTATTTCCTCAATGACAGATTTTTTTATTACGTTTTAACATAAAATATTACTCGTTAAAAGAAAAAACGAAACCCAGACCCTGAGAAAAATTCCAAGAAGATAAACAATTCACCACTGTAATTATTATTGAAATACTGTACATTAATTGTAGAAAAAGAAAAGGAAGTCATGATTCACTTTTCAGCCAGGCTGCACAGTACGTTTGCTAATCATTTTATTGACCTTCAATCTTATGGTATGGTTATTCAATATTAGTTCCCTCCCATCTTTTATGCGTTTGCTTTTCGCTTAGGGAAATTGTAAATAATTGAGTTTTGCGATATTTGGAAAAGAATTGATTGGTTTAACATTTCTGTAGGATAATTGAAAAGTGTCTGATTTGCGTCCTTTATTATGGTCTTGTACTTTTGAATCATTTTAGTTCAGTTTTATTGGATTTTTTCTCAAATCATCAAAGAATTTAATAGTCCTTGAAAGAAGGTAAGTATACTTTCTATAAATTAAAATATTCACTAGAATTCCGATTTGTATCGTGTACAGTAAAAAGTAATTCTAAACAAATGATTGGGGTGACTGAGTCCCCCCACTACCATTAATGTTAGTATCGAGTACGCGCCTGCTCCCGGGTTAAAACATTTTGAAGTCTTCTCGCTTTAAAAGTTAAAAAGTAACACAATTATTCTTCATCGGAATTTTATATTCTTTTTTTCATAATTTAACATTAATTCTAAATGCTAATTGTGTGAGGTTTAAAATTACAGTTCTTTTAAACAGTTATTTACAATTATAGCATTTATCTAAAAAAAAATAAATCATTTTACATTTTTGTATACAATGTCGTGTGCACACAGTTTTACTCTCCTTACAGTTCAGCTATTATATCAAGAATAATGTTTTATTTTTTTTAAAAATGAACTCGTGCGAAGAGTCGGTGTTTTAGCCAGTATACGTTTGATGTATCAGTACTGAAGAAGGTATTTTATAAATAATTTCTTATTACTGAATTTGGCCGCGGTAGCCGAGTGGTATAGGTATCGGATCGTGGCTTGCCTGGTTACGAGTTCGAGCCCAGTACCACTAAAGACCCGCCGTGTAGGGCAGCGATGCACGTTAAATCTGTTGAGAGTTGAAACATTTTCCCGTTGGTGTGGTGTGGTAGTTAGGAGAGAGGGGTGCCAGCTCAGGTGTCATCCACGTCACTTGACCATGGTTCAAAATTACGTGGT